ACTTGAGTAAAATTGAACTTCTCCTATATTATATCAAAGTTATATTTGATTACTTCGCTAATTCATTGTAAGTTATATGATTAACTCCCTTCAGTTTATGACGCCTATAAGAAATTTCAGCCTAAGCAAACATACTCTTTTGTGTTTTTTGGGCTGGACCCTAAAAAATTAGCCCTCGACCAGAGAAAATATGGGCCTAAGAGTCAATGTCCCCTAAAAACATTCCCTTCTACGGAGGGGAGGAAAAGAAAAAAAATCATAAAGATGACACTTTAAAAGACAATCAAATAGACAAGATGTAACCATTACACCTTACATCAATATGGCTATGCTATCATTCTTTTTTTATGGCGGCTTGTCACACATGCACATAAGAATCGAACCCAGGCTCCCCACGATGGAGCAAAACGACTTTGCCATATGATTTACTAGGCCGCCCCTAGCTATGCTATCAATTTTAAACAAAATGGAAACAGTAAAATACAATCCCAGCAGCTAAGAAACCAAAGCAAAATAGAACATTGAATCAGTTAAAACAATAGAGAAATTAGTGCAATCATCTTAAAGCTCCCAATCATTATATCAAAATTCTGAAATTACGTCGAAGGCAAGAGATTCTCTACCTCCTAAATTGTAGAGAATGCTTAAAACTATCTATATAGATGTGGTGAATAAGATTTGTTCATTTAATAGGTCCCACAACTAAAAGCTTTTATATAATATATTTAACTAATATCATTTATGGGACCCACAAAAGTAAAGATCTGCTCATTGTAATGTGTGGGAGAAATGTATACTAGTAGAAAGTAAAAAAAAACATTTTCTTTGTCATCATAGAACTACAACACACATTACAAGCATAACGCAATAATCTTTAAAACATTATCTTTAAATAAATTATTGTAACTAATAACCAAACTTTAAATTTTTCACGTAAAATCATTTTTGACGTAATATTCTACAACTAAGTTTTAGAAGAAGATTCTTAGTTCGAACCTCAAATAATTAGAGATCCTTCACGACCAAAAAACCACATGACGAGGAGAGAATTAAGAATTATGCTTTGATATGCATTATCAATAAACAATTTAATAGCTTAATTTTTAGGTAAACTAATTTTTTGACAAAAGTTAGTGATGCACATCCGTATGATTATGGTGAAAATCTAACAAATATAGTCATTAATTGTTGCAGAGTCCATAAGACGGACAGAGAAAATTTGAAACACAATGCTTAAATAGAGATAATTTGTTGTCAAGTTCTCTTGGAAGGGAAAGCTGAGAGTTGCTTGCAAGCTAACCCTAACTTGCATTTATGGAGAACTACATTAATTAATACGTTATTATTACTTGCGTTTGCCTATAGATAAGGCTAAGAAATTTAAATATGGTAAATTACTAGTAGAAACCCTATAGTATCATCCAATTATGAATAGACTCATTTGTGTAAATAAACCCCTGAGTGATTCTTAATTTTTTTCCCTCTCTTAAAACTGTTAAAAAAATTGTACGTTCTGGGTGTCTATTCACAAAAAATAAAAGTATATGGGGGTATATTCGCAATTGGTTGATACTAAAGGGGGTCTATTCATAATTAACCTATTTAAATATAATCTTATATTAAATGTGAAGAGAGATACATACATAAAATCTTATATTAAATGTGAAGAGATATGGTTAGATATACAACATTCAACCATAATTAAATTTTTTTTAATTACTAATTTTAAATCTCTCACATTTTATTACCAGTACTTTAGAATTGTCAAGCATATTCTGAAATTGTCAAACATCCGGTATTAGAAATGGTTCAAGTAAATCTAACTTGCTAACTTGAATCCAATGAAAACGGTTAATACAATGTAAATTTTATTTTATTTAATTACATTAACTAGTTAATCTATATAATTAATTAGTTAATACACAGATATTAATTAGCTAAGCTATATAATAATGGTGGTCTCGAAAGAAGAAGAAAAACACCTCCAGCAACCGCAAGTTACTGTTCCAGTGATCCTAATGGGTCCGGATCCGACCTTAAGTGGGTCGCGGGTCTAGGACCAGTTAGGACTCGCTAGAACCATCCAACGCTTGGAAACTTACTTAATTCGATTTGAAAAGGGGTAGTTTAAGCAAACAATTGGTTTCAGAGGGTCAACGCTCAAACTTGAACGGAGAGAAAATAGAACCTCTCAATCTTCAAAATTGAACCGCAGATAACTTTGACACGCATCAAGTTATCATCTGGAGAACACTAGGCTAAGTCAAAATTGAACCTCTCAATTTTCTCGTTTTCATTTCACTTTTTTTTAGTAAAAAAATGTATTATTGAACTTTGTGTGACTTCAACGTTTACAATAAATTCGAAAAAAAAACAATTATTCTAGAGGGTAGATTACACTAAGCCCCCAATATTTTTAGCATTTTGTAGTAAAACCCCAAAAATTCTAAAATCGTACTAAAGCTCCAATAGCTAATATCGGAGTTACAGAAAAATTCCATTAATATTTTCCTTTTTGCGGGTAAGATAGCATAAATCCATATTTTACGTTGACGATACATTTTATATTCTAAATGTGAATTAATACTGCCATGATATTTATCTGTAAAACATGGAAATTTTTTAGAAAATTTTTGCAATTTTAATTATTATAGACATTTACCGTGATTTAAGAAGTTTTTGGAGGTTTGCCGTAAAACGCTAAAAGTTCTCTAGAGTTTAGTATAATTTACTCATTTTCTAGATGTACATACCAAGTGTTGAGAAAACTAATAATATAAAAATAAGATGTACATACCATGTGTTGAGAAAAATAATAATATAAAAATAAATAAATTCTTTTCCTACACGGATTTAAAGAAATCCCTATTAATTTTCTTCATTGGGGTTAGGTGCAGTCTTTTTGTCACAAACTAAAAGTCTTTCTCCATTGACGCTATCCACATACGAAAAAAATATTACTCTATAAAATTAAAAGGATGCCTAGGATAATAATCTGGAAGAATTATTCTGAACGAAACTAATGTTTACATAATAAAGTGATGCTTCACAAGCCAATGAATTTTTTTTAATATGTCCTTTCTTAACTTTGTCAATTACAAGCCGCCTCTTTCTTCCGTCACATTAAAAACCAGTGGGCCAAGCCCACAGGTGGCGGCTTTCAAGATGCTCAAGAAAAACATGACCGCAATATTGGCGGCTGTTTCATTTTATTTCAAAAGTTGAATAAATAGGTCAGCTTGCGGATGAAGGAAGAACCTCTAGAATCTAAAGTACAAATTTACCCAATATAGTTATTATTTCTCATTTAGTGTGTATTATATATATATATATATATTATATATATATATATATATAATATATATATATATATATATAATATATATATATATATATATATATATATAAATAGAGAGAGAGAGAGAGAGAGAGAGAGAGAAAAAAAATGGGTATACTTGGTACCAAGGATCCTTGGTAGTGATGTGGACACATCTTGTCCATACATCACACCTTGAAGATGGAGCATCACCAACTCAAGTGTGATGTATGGACAAGATGTGTCCACATCACTACCAAGGATCCTTGGCCCAAGTATACCATATTCCTCATATATATATATATATATATATATAATATATATATATATATATATATATATATATATATATATGAGATTAATGGGTATCATTGTCATAGGAGGGGATTTTCTCCTATGACGCTCTAAAATCACATGATTGAGCGACATTGTGGATGATCCGTTCGTTGAACTTGATCTACATATTCTAAAACCCCAACACACCAAGTTTGGGGTGAATCCGTCGTCCTTTGACCCTCTATCGAGCCATTGTGAAAGTTCTATTCATTCAAAACCGTTAAAATTGATACTAGTGGATGAAGGTCAAACGACGACGGGTTCACCCCAAACTTGGTGTGTTAGGGTTTTAGAATATATAGATCAAGTTCAACGGAGCGGATTATCCACAATGTCACTCAATCATGGGATTTTAGAGGCGTCATAGAGGAAATCCCCTCCTATGACAATGATACCCATTAATCTATATATATATATATATATATATATATATATATATTATATATATATATATATATATATATATATTATATATATATATATATATTATAGTCTGAGATAGACAGCTAGAAAATCCCCTATCACATAGATGTTAAATATTGAAATTGATTTTTTTAGATATCAATTAATTATAGATCACATAAAATTGTACGATTTATGAACTTGAGAAACATTTTAGCTCATTTTCGTGAGAGAAAATTTGTCGCATATAAGAAGATACTGAAATTATGTTTGCGCTTGTCTTTTAATTAGTTGTTTATTATTTATCAGCTAACGAAGTGGAACTATATATTCAATTTGTTTGTAAATTTAAGAACACGAAAATCATTTTTTTAAAAAAAGATAAATATAGTTTCTATATTAAGGGATGTTTTAGTTCTAACAGAAAACCAAACTAGCTAAAACCTTTTTCTTATTAATTTTTTTCAAAAAAAAAAACTAATTTCTAAAAATATTTTATTTCCACGTTGCGTGTCCATTACTTCAATAAACAAACATGGCACAATCCAACTCCCTCCACAATCCATGGAAACATCCAAAGCAATAACTTTTATATAAAATTTGAAGGTAGTTAATTAAACGATATGACAAGCAAGGTCACTATTGTAAAATCCCCACCCTTTCTCTAGAAAACCCCATATGTCCTTACCTCACAGCTGACAGAACCAACCAAGACTCGTCAGGTCAACCCCGTGCGATGAACTCAAATCCTAACCTCCGATCAAAGTCTGACCCCCCCTTCCAAAAGCAAGAACTCTCTAGACCCTTAGACTTCAAATTAGTAAATCACCATAAAATCCTTTAAATCCCCCTCAAATCGAAACCCCCCGTCGCCTTCTCTCTCATCAAACCTAAGCTAGCTCACAAAAACAAGTTGTTAGCTAGAGTACTTCATATCAGGCAAGAAGTGTACAATTATATCTAAACCCTTCAAATCCCCCGGCCCCCTCTCAACCCCCTCACCACCTTCTCTCTCACCAAATTAACCTCTCTCTTTCCTCTCTTTCTCTCTCTACTCAAGTTAACAAACAAGTCGTTGGACGTGCACATGGGCACCTTAATAGGCCACGTAGCTCCGGGATTTGGCTTCATCCTCATTGGCTTATGGCACCTCTTCAATCATACAAAACTCCACTCTCTCAACCCTAAAACCTACGCATCTCTCCCATGGTTCTCTTCTCGGTTCTTCCGCTACATCGAGCCAACCCTGATTATAATAGGGAGCTTAATCTCCATAGCCATGGAGCTCTTCATCGGCCCCGCCAACGGACAGCCCCTCGACCCCGATTGGTCCATCCCTTCAAACCACCTACACAACTTTGAGCACTCCTCCATCTCCCTCGCCTTCTTAACCTACGCGCTCTTCGCCGTTATCCTAGACCGGGCCAGGCTACCGGACCCCGGGCTCAAGCACGGGCTCACGCAGCTCGCCGCCGCCGTGGCATTTGGCCAACAACTGCTTATGTTCCACCTTCACTCTGCTGACCATATGGGAGTTGAAGGGCAATACCATTGGCTCCTTCAGCTTGTCATAGCCGTGTCCTTGGGGAGTACTATTATTGGTATATGGAAACCTAGGAGTTTTTTGGTCAGTTTTGTGAGGTCAATTAGTATTTTGTTTCAAGGGGTTTGGTTTGTGACTATGGGGTTTGCTTTGTGGACCCCAGGGCTTATTCCTAAAGGTTGTTTCATGAACTCGGAGGATGGGCATTGGGTTGTTAGGTGTGGGGATCAAGGGTCTTTGGAGAGGGCCAAGTCTTTGGTTAATATTGAGTTCAGTTGGTTTTTGGTTGGGATGGTGTTTTTCTCCATGGGGTTTTATTTGGCGGTGAGGAGGTGGTATGTTGATGTGGAGAGGGAGTATTTGGGTTTGGATGAGGAGGTGGAGAGCGAGGATTTGGAGAGTCAAAAGAAGTTGGATGAGTCTGAGAGCTTTGTTCATATGGGAAAAGGGTTTAAGAGTTTAGACCTTGAGAGATGAGGATAATAAATTTGATTTGTGTTTGGATCAGGCGAACTTTATTGTTGTTAATAATTAATGTCACGTACGAGAGTTTGTAGTTTGCTTATTATTTTATCCGCTTTTTAAAAGTTATCTAGCAGATTTTTTCTATTGGAAGTTCATGATTTACGAACCATTTATCTGCAAATTAGATATATAGTGGAGAGAATTTACTGGATAGTTTTTAACTTTCTGTTAAGTTAATAGAAAGATGTGAGCGGAGGATGTATTAGAGCATTTTTTTTTCTTTTTTATGAATGTTTATATAATGGGGTTTGCCAAGGTCAAGAGGCCGCTTTGTATTCCGATGGGTTCGGATGTACATGAGCGAAAATGATGTATGTGATGTTTTACTTAGCTTAGTTTCCAACTCTTGCCAAGTGTTGGGTTGTAAAGGGTTACAATAATGTAATGTAATGCTTCTTCCAATTTCTATATTACGCCAATTGTTCGCTTCTCATTTTTCATTTTTGTGGCAAATGATCATTACCCAAATGACTTTGGCTTTCTCATGTATATCGTCTTTCTCATGTATATTGTTGGAAACCAACACCTTGTTTACGTTTGCGACTAATTCCAAGTTACGTTCCTGCTTGCAAAGAAATTTTTATTAACGTGCGGTTGATCAATAATATCATTTGTTAGCAGGAGTCCCATAACCTTAATTAATGATGTTAATATTATTCATATCATATACTTTGTAATTGGATAACCGAAGGATATATATATATATATATATATATATAATATATATATATCATTATATATACTATATATAATATATATACGTATATATTATATATATGATATATATATATTATATAATATGGTATATATATGGATATGCTTGGTACGCCGAAGCACAAATTTTGTGCTTAGTAGTGAGGTGGTACAATCCGCGCTCCACTCATCATTCCAAATTGGGGGACCACATTCCTATGGCGTTGGGGAGTGCATGGGGATATGCAACATTTGAAATGAGTGGAGGGGATTATGCAAACCTCACTACCAGACAACTTTTGTGCTTGGTACCAAGCATCCCATCTTCTCATATATATATAATATATATATATAATATATATCGATATATGAATATATATATATATATAGTAGTATATATATAATATATAGAGTAGAACTCGTGTCAACGTTAGGTGGGAAGTGAATAGTGTGTCCACGCAAACTTTTAAATAATCGCACATCATTTACATATAAAAAAAGTCACTTCATATCATGCAAGGACTCCCCTAGGAAACATCTAAGGGTTAAAAAGTTTTAGTGGATGTCGCACTTAGTGACACATAGTTTTGCTCTATATATATATTATATATATATATATATATATATATATATATATATATATATATATATATATATATATAATATATATATATTATACATATATATAATATATATATTATACACTATTATTATATATATATATATATATTCAAAGAAAATGTTAAATTTGATAATGCATTTGGTTTTTTTCCCCCTTCTTTCGAGCTGTGATTACCATCAATCGGAGCAATTTCCATAAGGACGAGCTTGAAACTTCCACGATTATTGTTGACTTCATATTAAACTCTTCTTAATTAACGTCAAATTCTTAGATGAGAGAAGTATAGACTGTCCTTCTAGCTTCCTAGTCCGTGCACTTTCAAGTATAAGTTGAATGCCTGAAGTCTTGTTTTATATCTAGAAAAAGAGTAACTGGATCTTTATAGAGGAAAAGGCAAAAGAGAAAAGTGAATACAAAATTAAGTAGCTAAAAAGCAAATTTGTCTTGGCTAAATATAGTGACAATTAATGCGAATATCAAGCCGAAAAAAAAGGATTTGTTCACCTCTTCATAGATTTATCTTTTGTGCTTCCACGAGTTTTTTTTGACAAGATTCACAAATAGAGATGGATCCACCTAACATCTTTTATAATCCTCTAAATTTCATGTAGCAAAATCTGAAAATATATTAGAAGAAGTGTTATGTTTTGTTGCAATAACTAGTTACATAATATCGACATTATAGATTTTTTAACCCAATGTTATTAATAACCTCTATGATTAAATAAACAGATTCCTCCAATTGGATGTTTCTGATTGTTAATATATAATGATGAAAGCTGTTATAAAAAAATTCCTTAAAAAAATAACCTCTTATTGAGCTCCAATAAACAAATCTTTCACAATCTTCAACTAAAGTGCGTGTCTTTTTATTTTTTTTCTTTAAAAAAAAGAGGGGTTTAGATGCTTATCCCATGTGAACAAAGATATCAAGATGCCACCTAATCAAAATGGCCTAATATCTTGTGTACAAGTTGTTTATAGTTAATAGTTTTTTTGTGAAATTGCAGTGAGACTGTATTTGTTTTTTTGGTTAATATCCACTTTTGACAGGTCCGTTCTCTTCAATGGATACTGGATATCAACTGAAACCTAAGTATTATTTTTGGTCAATGAATTTAATTTTATTCATCACCCAAGTATGAAAAATTTATGTACATCAAAGCATCCAGAACCATAGTCTGGGGAACAATTAGAAAGAAAGTTACAATTTCTCAATTTCCTCTTTTATGTAACCAGGTATATTGTCATTCAAAATTTTTGAAAGTATAGAGATCTTGATATTGTGAAAAAGAACTGCAGGAGCTCTAGACTTTTGCTGGAAGATCTGCAAATTTCTCTCAGTCCAAATTGCATACACTGTAGCAGATAGGGCAAGTCTCTTCAATTTCTTCATGAACCCCTTCCCTCTTAGCATGTTGCTATACCAATCAGTGATACTTTCCCATCTACATGACCTCTATTTGTAATCCAGCCAGTTCATCATGTTGTTACACACCTCAGTAGAGTATTGGCATTCAAATAGGAGATGCTGACAGTTTTCATTGCTCTGATTTGAACATAATACACATACATTTGTGTCCAGAATTCCCAAATGACATAATCCGTCTTGAGTTAATAGCTTTGCATGAAAAGCTAGCCAAAGAATAAAAGAGTGTTTGGGGAAATTCCAACTGTCCCAGACAGTGTCTGACCATTGAACTTTAGGAGAATGCTGTGCTATTTCTTTGTAGATAGAAGATATAATGATTTTGCCTCCAGAACAGCATTTGTTGATTGCATTATGCAAGTTATAAACATTCCCAAATTTACTTATGAGAGTATCTCTCACCTTGAGAAGTTGTTTCCACATCCATGAGTTGTTCACCTTCACTTGAATATGCCTAAGTATTACAAAGTCCTTAAACAAGCAAAACTCGATGTTCAATGGAAAGAAGCGGACCATTCGTCTGAAGCATGGCTATTTAAGAGAGCTCATTTGTCAAGGAGTCATCTCTGTGATTAACGTCCGGTCTTCGGAGAATTTGGCTGATCCTTTGACTAAGGGTCTGAAAAAGAACATAGTCGAAAGGAAGTCTGTTGGAATGGGTCTCAAAGCTTTGTAAGTCTTACAAATACTTATCATGTGTAGGTGTCAAAATTTGCATATAGGTTCCCGCACGCAGCTCGAGACGGAGAGAGTACGATGAGTATCATTATCCAAGTCAAGGAGGATTATCTGACGCCGACAAGCGCATGAAACGAGTCGACAAAGCGTACGAATTAACGGGACGACAGAATAATGAACAGGCAATCCGATCGGGAGTTACGTTTTACTCAGGAAAGACGAAGCACCACTCATGTCTCGTCCACTCCACGTATGATTCACCCATGAGAGATTATAGATCTCTTCTTCGGCTTCTCAACACACTTTGAATCTTGTCATTCCGAGATTGGACCGAAAATTTACAAGGAAAACACTCAAGGCACGCTAAACAGCGTCTCGGTCAAAACCGAGACACATATTATGTCTCGGCCAAAGCCAAGACACAATGTGTGTCTCGGCCAAGGCCGAGACACAGAGTCCTGTCTCACGCCCAAAAATACAGTTTTTCCCCGTCAACCGCCCAGATTTCTGTATATTCTGATCCAAAGCCTCCCAAACTGATTTGAAGCTATCTTAGAACGTGGTTAAATAGTTACAACTGAAGATGAGAGCAAATCAGCCGTTCTTATCTGAAACCGAGCTTCTGAAGCCTATAAATATGGCCCTAGAGCCTTCATTTAGATAGATCCGGAATTCTGAGCAAACGGCGAAGCCCTGTCGAATTGGAGAGTGGAGGAGCATGAATTTCAGCAAGGAGGAAGCAAGTTCTTGGCGAATTCTTCGACATAAAGGAGGAGAGTTCAATAGATCTGCAGTTCATTTAGCCCCGTTCATCCGCTTCCCTTGAGATTGCACCGTTGTTGTGATCTCGAGAAGAGTGTTTATCTCACCGTTGCTGAGATAATCACTTCAATTTCTTGTCTCATTCGTGAGGCAACAAAATCAATCATATCTGATTATTTGGTGGTCCACGGATAAACCCCGGAACCGGAAAAAATTCCGCGCAAGCAGAAGACCGATAAGCGATCTCTCTGGGTGTGTTTTCAAGAAAGTTATAATCTTTTTATTTTTCATTGTGTAAGGAGACTTATAAAAAGTCTTTCTTTTTTGAATTCGTTGTAACGCCTGAAGTTGTAATGGATTCGAAAGTAATGAAGCCGATTTCCGATGCGAACACGCTGACGACCACAGTGGGAGCCAACAGCCTCGCTGCTGAGGCTGTCATGCTGCAGCCGCTGATCAAGATCCCTGTGGATGAAGAGGTTAAATACGAGTTCCACCAGCAGAAGTTCGAGGAGTACATCTCCCCCTCTTCCTCTAGATCTTCCTCTCCTTACAAACACAGAAAGACCACTTCCCTCAAGAAGGTTCGTTGGTCTTCAGATCTGAGGACTCAGGGTGACAATCTTCACTCAAATGCTGTTGAAGACTACTCCCCAGCATCGAAAAAACCGAATTTGGTGCTCGCCGCAACTCTTCAAAAGTCAAGGAGTTGCCCGCTGAAAGCGCATCAGTGCTGACGAAGAGGGCTCGTCAAAGGCGCCGCCGACCCTTGGTGAATTGGTAAGGGGTGTTGTTGTGGGCTTTACAGGTGGGTGCATTCATAGTCGGCTACAATAGTTGAAAAGAGATGTCACGGGTGGACATTAAAGTGAGGCGGTTGGTTCGGTCCTAATTGACTCATAAACTCTGCACCTGACCTGCATTGAAAGCGATATAAAAATCAAATCAAACCATAATAAATAAGATAGTTCGGTTGGTTCAATCAGTCCACATCATATTTCCTCAATCCTACACCGCATCTCTTCTTATAATTTTGTTCATATTCCTGTGTTTCTTTCAAGTTTTTTTTTCAAAAAGCGACTTTTTTTTCAAAAAGCGACTACTTGAAACATCAACCCATATCACGAAAATAAAAAACTCATTTCTGACTAATTTGCTTGGAAAGGAACCGGAAAACAAATAAAGAAGATGAAAAAATTGAGAGTGAGTGAGGTGGCTTTTTAGGAACCGTCCAACTATTTTTTATAAATTTAATTTTCTACTTTTTACTCACAAACCAAGCATAAAACTGAGTTTTTTTTTTTAGAAATTGGGGTTGGTTAAGCACCAACCAAACAACAAAAACCATTTGTAAGCATCCCGTAGAAAACACAAATTTGTTTTTTTTTCCTCTAGAAATTAAGTTTTCTAATAATTGGGGATTTAATCAAAAACAACCCCTTCCTTGACTAATTTCAAAACAACTTAAGAATTAGAATATCTAGTAGCAAATTCAGTGATTTACCATACTAATTTCATAATAGCTTAAGACTTGGGGGACATAATAGTAATTTTAATAATTTAATACCTTATTTGGTAAAGAGTTAAAAGGGTTTAACCCTTCACTAACCTGCCAATTAATAATTTTTGGTTGAAGGTTTTAGTACCCCTACTCAACGGGGTAAGAGCAGTTAACCTGTCAAAATGATGGGTTAATAATTCCGCCACTTTAGGAGGGGTAAAGTCTTAACCCTTCTCGGTGGCGGCAAGGGTAAATGATGTAATTTAGAGGGTAAATGATGTAATTTAGAAAGTTTGACATGTCTATACTGGTCAGCCAAACCATGTGGATCAAAACTTAGACCCGACCCAGTAAAGATGAAGGGGACAACCACATAATAAACCCCTGAATAGGGGTGGAAGCGAACCAAATATTTAATAAACAATTCAGTTAATATTCGTCCAAATATTCGGTCATATTCGATCCGACAGTTTATTTAATACTAAGTGAATATTTTTCAGTATTCGGCTTATAAACGAATAGAATTTAACTAAAAGTATATTCGATTCGGCTGATTATTAACTGTTCGATAACTTTTTATTTGTCAATACTATTAATTAAGCTTGTTGCAAATATTACCCATCAAAACTTTTTATTACAACTTCTACCCCCATATATAAATACACATGTTAAGAGACCGACCCTCTCTTTCCGCCTCCAATCAAATACCTGTTTCTCTCTCTCAGCTAGGGTTTCCTTCCTCCCCGCCGACGCCGTCCTCCCTTCCCGCGACGACGTCCTCCTCCTTCCCTGCGACGACTCTCTCTCTTCCCTCTCCGAGGACCTGCGCTCCTCTCTCTCCGACGCCCTCCTCCCTCCCCGCCGACGCTGTCCTCCCTCCCCGCGACGACGCCCTCGTCCCTCCCCGCGACGACGCGCGCTTCCCTCGATCTCTGTAGATCTTGGAGATTTCGTGCCGTGATTCTCTGCTTTTTCTCACTTGAAAGGTAAAAAAAAAAAACCCATTTACTCCCTCCCCGCGACGACGCCCTCCTCCCTCCCCGCGACGACGCCCTCCTCCTTCCCCGCGACGACTCTCTCTTCCCTCTCCGAGGACCTGCGCTCCTCTCTCTCCGACGCCCTCCTCCCTCCCCGCCGACGCTGTCCTCCCTCCCCGCGACGACGCCCTCGTCCCTCCCCGCGACGACGCGCGCTTCCCTCGATCTCTGTAGATCTTGGAGATTTCGTGCCGTGATTCTCTGCTTTTTCTCACTTGAAAGGTAAAAAAAAAAAACCCATTTGCAATTAATCTGTGTACTTTTTGAGTCCGCATTTCTGTATTCATCTAGTTTAACAACTTATTTTTTAGAATCGGCTTTTCTTTTGACCTCTATCTCTGTCAGCTTTCTTTCAGCAATTTTTCGCTTCATTAGTTTCATCCATGAATTGTTTGATAAATTATAGATGGTAGTACTATGTTGTGCATTTGGGATGATTCAGTTATAAAATATGCAATGCGTTGATTCGATTATGTTTTGAGTGCTCAGTGTTACCTCCATTATAAATAAACTGCAGGGGCCCTCAGTCCGTCGATCGATTTTAACCTCCGTGCGAAAATTGTAGAAAGGAGGAGGGGCGAAACATCTCACCCTCTCTATTCGTTTCTCAATCTCTTTATTTTCCAAACTTTGAACATTGTAGGTAATCCTATTTCTCAAAATTGTTTTCTGGATTTTTAGCTTCTTTTTTACCACAATTTTTTGCCCAATTTTATTAAATCTTAACCCTATAAAGACCTAATGTTAGCTTCAACGAGATAAATCTTTTTTGTTGCTGTAATATCTAAAGCTTTATAATTTCTTAAATTCGAACTAGGAACTATGGAGTTGAATCAAGATGAGATTTTGTGCAAGTAGTCTACTGTCAAAAGGCTTTCTAGGGTTTTATGTTGATGATCAATAGAAACCTGCAGATAGAATTAGGCGCATTTCAAGTTGTACAAGGAGAGTTTTGAGCCATGATTCAAATCCTGATTTAATTTCGTTGATTAAATTTCTTTCAACACTTTGACGTTTACTTTGTGCCGCCCTACAGCATTAGAGAGTATATACTGGCTATATTGCTTATAATTTTTGGCAAACATTGCAAGTATAATATGATTAATTGTGTAAAGTACACTTCAGTTTTGCCAAAGGTATAATCATTGTTTTAGTTCCTATGTTTCATGTCGCTAGGCAGTATTTTCCCAAAAGAACAAATTTGTAGGTAGTTTTATGTAGGAAAGCAAAGTGGATATATAGTTTTGAAGTGTTTTGAGTGAGGTTAGCTGCATTCAGTTAAGAATGATGCAGATTTGAATTTATGGAAATTGATTGTTTGCATTCCAGTGCTTGCATTTCATAAGACATTAAAACTAATGCATGTTTCAATAAGTGATGAATTATATAGAAGCTGCTCAGATAAGATGAAACCAGGTTATTTGGAATATTGTTTGAAAAGAAGTAATTGATGGGTCACGCCATTAGTATTAGGGGCATACACTAGAACAAACACTAGACAAAAGACTTATTTGGAACTACAGAGGTTAGGACGTGAAACTTTCTAATGATAAATTGTTAAAACAAAATTGAAGAGCTAAATTTTTGGAACAAAATATTAATTCTATCAGGAAAGTAGATCTCCGGAGAATATGAACTATAAATTTTCATTATTGTGGATTAGTAAGTTGGTCGAGTGAAGATGCACAAAAGCTATTGAAACTACTCGTGTAAGAATATGAACTATATTAGGAAAGTAGATCTCCGGAGAATATGAACTATAATCTTAGTTGGTGTATGACTAATTAAAATATTGAAAATAAATATTACTATATCAGGAAAGAATAAATCTAAGAAAGCGGTTAGTGAAACTACATTTTTGGCACATCATAATTTATGTAAGAACTTGATAGCATATGTTAATGTTTGTAAAGGTAATACAAAAAAGAGCCAAGACAAATAATGTCAATTGTTTGAAATATAAATCTCGTAAGTCCTAATCAGTGCTTTAAGAAGCAGTCTGAACTTCGAACTCCATGGATAAAAACAATTCCAAAGCCAACTTCGTCATTTATGTATGCTACCACTGATACTACTCATTGCTTCTCTGTGCCCCTATTTTATCCTTTTTCTTTTGGCCTTTTCATACTGATGGCGTTATGCTAATATAGCAGAGGCAATTGTTATATTAGCAACAATAGAGAATGGCTTATAGGTTTTATTTTTTCATTCTTCACTATTCATTTTCTTCTTTCAATGAAGTGCTATCTATTCTCCATGTTGCCCTAGCCACCTTGCAATAATTAAGATATTGTATAGCATGAGTCCTATTTAAAACAGAACTAAAAATATACTTTGCAAAGATGAAAATTGATGGACCACAATGATCATAGTCATGTAATGAAAAGGAATTATCGTTGTAGCTTACCTAATGAGGGCCCTTAATTTGTTTCTATGGGGAAGAACTATAGTCTTGATACAAAATATTGAGACAAAGGTTGTTCTATTATTTTTTAAATTTAATCATCTTAATCCTTCATTAGTCAAACAAACAAAAATTAATTATTCATCTTAGCTATCAAATCCAAGCGAAATTTCATCATTTTTAATCCCTCATGAAAGATTAACTAATTTAATTTTTCCTCTTAACTATTCTATTTTAACCCCTTGCCAACAGGCACCTTAGAGACTAATTTCAGTACATGAAAGATTTCAAGGGATACCCCTCCTTTTAATTGATTTTAAATGCACCCTTAATTTCAAAATACGGTCAGCCAAACCATGCGGATAAAAATTTAGACCCGACCCGGTAAAGATGAAGGGCACGGCGACATAATAATCCCTCAGTCCGTCGATCGATATAAACCTCAGTGTGAAAATTTTGTAGTGAGGGGAAAAGAAAAATCTCTCTCTCTCTCTCTCTATTCGTTCCTCAATCTCTTTATTTCCAAGCTTTGAACGATGCAGGTAATTCTATTTCTCAAAATTAATTTTTGGAAATTTAGCTTCTTTTCTACCACATTTTTTGCCCAAGAAAAGATTTTCTTATTATATCTTAACCCTATAAAGCCCTAATGTTAGCTTCAACAAGATAAATCTTTTTTGTTGGTGTAATCTCTAAAACTTTATAATTTCTTAAATTCGAACCGTGAAATATGGAGTTGAATCAAGATGAGATTTTGTGCAAGGAGTCTATTGTAAAAAGGGTTTCTAGGGTTTTATGTTGATGATTAACAGCTATGTAGCACGGACACGAATCCGACACGGCCATCCGACACGCCGACACGAGGCAAATCCTAAAAAATACATAGGATACGTGTGTTTGACACGTGTGTCAGACACGGACACGACACAACACGGCTTCATGTTATGCGTGTCTGTGCTTCATAGATTAACAGAAACTTGCAAATAGAATTAGGTGCATTTCAAGTTGTACGAGGAGAGTTTTGAGCCATGATTCAAATCCTGATTTAACTTCGTTGATTAAATTTCTTTCAACACTTTGACGTTTACTTTGTGTCGCACTGCCGCATTAAAGAGTATATACTGGCTATATTGCTAATAAATTTTGGCCAACATTGCAAGTATAATATGATTAATATGCCTAAAGTACACTTCAGTTTTGCAAAAGGTATAATCATTGTTTTAGTTCCTATGTTTCATGTCGCTAGGCAGTATTTTCCCAAAAGAACAAGGTTTTAGGTAGTTTTATGTAGAAAAGCAAAGTGAGTATATTGTTTTGAAGTGTCTTGAGCGAGGTTAGCCTGTATCACCTTCCTTTGTGCAATGACTGGCTGCATTCAGTTAACAACGATGCAGATTCGAATTTATGGAAATTGATTGTTTGCATTAAGTGCTTGTATTTCATAAGACCTTAAAACTAATGCATGTTCTGATTAGTGATGAATTATTTCGAGGTTGCTCAGAGAAGATGAAACTAGGTTATCTAGAATATTGTTTGAAATGAAGTAATTGATGGAACGGGCCATTAGTATTAGGGGCATACCCTAGAACAAACACTAGAAAAAGGACTTACTTGGAACTAGAGAAGTTAGGATGTGAAACCTTCTAATGATAAAATGTTAAAAATAATAATAATTGAAGAGCTAAAGTTTTAGAACAAAATATTAATTCTATCAGGAAAGTAGATCTCTAGAGAATATGAACTATAAATTATTGTAGATTAGTAGGTTGAGTGAAGACACACAAAAGTCGCAAACAAAGAAGAGGTAGCATCTTATAATGCTAGTTGGTGTGTGACTAATTAAAATATTGAATATAAATATTACTCTATTAGGAAAGAATAAAGCTAAGAAAGCTGTTAGCGAAACTACATTTTTTGCACATAATAATTTATGTAAGAATTTGATAACCATATGTTAATGTCTGCAAAGCTAATACAAAAAAGAGCCAAGACACATAATGTCAATTGTTTGAAGTATAAATCTTACAAGTCATAATTAGTGCTTTAAAATGCAGTCTGGACTTCGAAGTACATGGATATAAACAATTCCAAAGCCAACTTTGTCATTTATGGATGCTGCCACTGATACTACTCATTGCTTCTCTGTGCCCCGATTTACCCTTTTTCTTTTGGCCTTTTCATACTAATGGCAATTATGCTAATATAGTGGAGGCAATGATTATATTAGTAGCAATGGAGAATGGCTTATAGGTTTTATTTCTTCATTCTTCATTTTTTTTGTTAAGCATATTTCTCCATTTTTTTTATTATGAACATTATTTGATGAAATTTGGCATGGGCTCCCTAAAATATCCTTGGGTCAAAAAAAAGTTCAAATGTTAAAACTAAAAATAAATTGAAAAGTGGATGGCAAATCCCAAAAAAAAGGTAAAATCCATCTAGCTTTTATACAATGTAAATTATTGGATGTTGATAGGATTTTACTTTTGCCAACCTATGCTTGTGCTAGCAAAGTTTCATATGTTATAATCTTGATATTTCATCCCTAGAAATTGATAACACAGCAAAAATTTATGTCGCATCGCAACACGTGTTAAAAAAGAAAAAAAAAGAGCTATGAACTGCACGCATTTTTATGACATTTCGACTATTAATTTCTGAAGCATGCATAATTCTCATTTATCGAAGATGCATAACATGTCTGAGGACTTCAGTATATTATTTAGATATATAACATGTATGTATAAGTATGTATATACGGATACATAGGCGCACATATTATTAAACATTTTTATTTGAAAACTCCACAATAACATGAATATGGATAATCATGAAATTGAAAAGTTTTAACATCTCCTTTTAGTCAAATAATGTAGAAAGTTGTTCAATTGAACTAAACATATATGTTAGTATTCTAAGAAAATTCACTAAATACAGAAAACTTTCAAATTTGGATTCATTTAAATTACCCATCCAAATTTAATTATGTAGGTATTGGAATATGGGTATCTCAGTATTAGATTTGGTTCCTTCTCTTCTCTGGGGGAAAATGGAAAAATGAAAAGGATGTTATAGGTGAGAAAAACAAACGGGTTTCGGACCCGATTCAATCAGGTCAGATATGAGTGAGCTCCAATGAACTTGGGTTCACTTCCGATCGTATTGGATCCGACCCGATCACATTGCTTTCAAGTTTCTATAATCATAAACCCTCGTTCTCAAATTTGTCCCCTTCAATTACAGAGAAAACTCCACAACGCAGTAATGGAGTACGTGAATCCGTTAACAGGATTTCGCTTAGATGGCCGCCGCCCAAATGAAGTACTCACCAAATTCTCTCGTGATTTTTTTTAATTTGATGAAATTTTAAGTTTACCCATTTTGTTTTGATTACAGATGAGACAGATTCGAGGGGAGATTGGGGTCGTAGCAAAAGCTGACGGG